TATATATTATACAATTTAGTTCGTAAAAGAAACTTATTGTTAAGATACAACCACAATCAATAAAAGTTATATGTTTCTTAAAGTTATTTAGTTGGAAAGAATTGTGAATCTTAAGAGAATTTAATTAACAATAAGAAGAAATAATTAATAAATAAAGTTTATATTTTATAACAAGATTATATTAAAGTTTCAAATAATTATTTAGTAGAAACTAAATTAAAAAATAGAGTAAAAAGATTATAAATGATTATTTTTTTATAGAAATGAACCAATAACTAAGTATTAGGTAAAAACAAATGTGGTTAAATATTAAAACATTTAACTTCTTTATTATGTGAGTATTTTATAATTGATTATGATAGTTGTTTTTTTTTTCAAGGAATTGAAGGAAATTGTATCATAACCCGGTACTATGATTGAAATTAATCAAGGGGGAACAAACAGTCGGATGGAGAAAATAAAATTTTTCTCTACTCATATTTTATAGCTAAGATTTGTTAAATGAAAGAGCCATTATATAAAAAATAGAAGTATTAGGAAATAATTTATTCATGTTAGAAGTTGTGAGGATTAGATTTATTTCTTAATATATAACTTTATTTCCCTACTAGATTTAATTCATTAGATTGCATTTATTTCCTTTCTTATTTTAGGTTTTCCTATTTTATGTTGTTTCTTTTATCTCCAAATAATTAATAAGAGTTGATTAATTAGAGATAAAAGGTGTTATATCTTTCATTTCCTGTTGATCCTTTTTTATTGTCGTTCCAATTCTAGGATTCATGTAAATTTTATTTATACTCTCTTTCATATCAATAAAAATACTCCGATTATTTTGAATTTCAACATGTTATCAGAGTCTTGAAAGAAATCCTAGAGTCTCTAGTGGAAGAAATTTCCTATTGTCGGAACCTCTCTCTTTGTCCATTCAATCAATTAAAGGGTTTCGGGGTTGTTCCGTTCTCTCTATTTCTATTTCTAAAAAGTTATATATTATATGTCATGCTGGAATTATTTTCTCGATTTGTTTGCTACTCTTCACGTTGCTTTAGGTAGTAGGATTGAAGTCTGAGCATATTCCTTCAATCATGCGATCATCATGGGCAAATTCTGTCGCGAACGGCGAGAGATGGGCGGGCGCGATATCTGGAAACAACAGCACCACCTCCAACGCTCGTGCTGCAACGGCATCTCGCTTTGAGCGAAGTTCTTACGCCCCTCCTCATCACTGTAACCGTCATGCATCCAATCCCCACGCCCCTTCTCAACCCGATGACGACTTTACTGCCTTGAGGTCAGGGTACCCTGTACCTTATGGTGGTAATTGTTGGGTAAGCAGTGGCAGTGGCCATAATGTCTGTCGCTCCAGCTACACTGAAGTGGTGGTGATGGGTGGAGCTATCGGATTGGTGGTTGAGACCAAGGTAGGGATCGGGAAGTGAATCCCTTTCTAAATAAGGATGATAAAACCGAAGTGGCTTGCAATGACCAGCAGAACATTAGGATTACGTATGATGCCTACGAAGACATTCTGCTTGAGATTAGTGTTGATAATATGTCGCCTGCCTCCAATACCTTTTCTGAGATTGATCTTGGATCGACTTTAAATGAGAAAATTAGGAGTCAAGTATGTGAACCTGGCACCAGTGCAGATACATGCAATTCTGATCTCTCCAGCATGAAGAGATCAAATGGCTTGTGCACAGACAGGACCGAGAAAGACTGCGGCATTTTGCTTTCCCGTTATAAGTGGGATCATAAGGAGCCACCTGCGCAGAAACCTAATAGGGCTCAAATTTGTTCCCACTTGCTCTGATTCTTTCGCCAACCCGTGAATTTTCTGTTCAGATACCTCAGAAAGCTAGGAAGTTTTCTTATTAAACTGACGCTAAAGTGGTGGTTGCTTATGGTGGAGCCCCACTTAATAACTAGTTGTGGGACATAGAGGCGGTGTTGATGTACTTGTTGCCACTCCAAGCCGACCGATTGATCTGCTTGAAAGGGCTAGAGTGTCATTATCAATGATCATGTATAAGCGTTAGATGAAGCCAATAGAATGCTTGATATTGGGTTTGAGCCACAAATCAGAAATATTGTGGAGCATACGGACATGCCTCTACCCATTACCTACCTATTGTTGGACTTCAAAAGGATCGCAACAAGGCATCCCATCAAGTAGTGTCCAAAATTCCTTCTCATTTCAAACTTGGTCCTAAGCTCAATGCATGCTTTAGGTTAGAATTCTGCAGTCGAAATTTTTTCCGCAACAGACTCTCCTCCGGAGTCTTTCTTACTGCAGGCCCTCCTCTAGAGCTTTTCCTTGCCATAAGCCCTCCGGAGCTTTTCCCTGCAATAAGCACTCCTCCGGAGCTTTCCCCTACAATAGTCTTCCTCCAGAGCTTTTCCAGCAGCAGGCCTTCCAAAATTTTTTTCTGCAGCAGGCCCTCTGAAATTTTTCCTACAACAGGCCCACCTCCGGATGGCCCTTTGGGACTTTTTTCCTCTTTTTTTTTATGCAAATCATACCCTACAGCTTTTTCTAGCGGTTCTTCACTCCCCTGCAAACTCCCGTGCAGCATTACCTGTAAGAGTCTTCCGTCTAACTAGAGACATTGCAAGAACTGCATTAAAAGACAACCGCAATCAACTAGAAGTTAGTTTTTCCTTCGGGTGGCCTACTTCCATACAAACTCCCTTGCAACATTACCTATAGAAGTTTTTTGCCTATCTACAGACACTACAGGAAATGTAGTCAAAGACAGCAGCAGTCAACTTTTCATACAGGTTGTCTACTTTCCTACAAACTTCCCTGCATCATTATCTGTTGAAGTATTTCGCCTACCAACAAAAATAAAAGGAACTGCAATCAAAGACAACCCCAGTACAGAATGAAGACTTCAAGTTTTACTTTACAGGATCTCCCTTGCCCATTGTTTGATATTTTCAAATCCAAGTTGAATATGGTTTTCAACCATTTTTCAACTTAAGGGAGTGTTAAAAGTTATATTAGAAAATAATTTATTGTAGTTAGAAGTTTTGAAGATTAGATTTATTTTCTAATATAACACTTTATCCTTTCCTGTTTTAGATTTATTTTCTTGGATTGGATTTAGTTCCTTTCATAATTTAAGCTTTCCTAATTTATATTGTTTCTTTTATCTCCAAATAATTAAAACATGAGTTAATTAATTGAAGATATTAGGTGTTGTATCTTTTTTTTCATGTTATTTCTTTTTTTATTATCTTTCTTATTCTAGGATTCACGCAAGGGTTATTTATACGATCTTTCATATTAATAAAATTATTCCGCATTATTTTGAATTTCAACATAAAATAAATTAATGTAATATGATTAAATTTACATCATCTCTGGTTGTATGCATCTTTTTAAATGTTTTCTATTTTATTGCTCTTAATCAATTGATTAAATCGAAAATATTAATTTAAAACCATAGTGGGTTAACTATAACCAATGAATAATTATTCCTCTTAGTTATAAAAACATAATAAAAATGAAACTAATATACATGTCGTTAAACTTTACGTAAATCAATATAAGAATATTTGAAGGTTTATAGTATCTAATATGATCATTTAAAGTAATTCTAAACATTAATTGTCTCACTATATCATATATACATTAATTTATTTTTAATCTATATAAAACTATCACGGAAGGGTCGTCTAAAACTTGTGCCAATGAAGAAACATCAATATTAATAATATTTTTCTTGTGTAAATAACCTTAACATTCTTCTGCTAGTATCATAAAAGAGTGAACTTCATCATAACCAGATATGCACAAACAATCATTCTATAGTTCATATCATTCACATTTTTATGTCATTCAATATGTAATATTAAATACTAAAATACATAAAACGTTTGATAAAGAGATACTGTAACATTCAAATTGAAATGACCGATAAAATTTAAGAATAGAGAAATCCTAATATATTAATCAAGCATCAATAATAATTAATACAAATGATTCAGAAGATATACAAAATGATACTATAACTTAAGATCTCAATCACTAATGATTCCCCAGACAATTGTTATATTCACTTAACTCTTATGAAAACCTATAGTCAAATTCATAAATAATTATTATTATTTTATTATATGTCAATCTTATTATTAGAAAGCAATTTATCTTTCTTTTACCTTTGCTATATCATATAAAAATAATTATTTTATTATTATTATATTAATTACCATCTTCATGTCACTATATAACTTTAATTGTTTCTTTCAAAAAAATAAAACTTCATAAAATTTTGATTATAAAATGCCGAGCCTCAAAATTTTACCGAGTAAAAATCATCATAAAGTATTAATTTAACTTTTTAGTTATCCTATGTAATTTATATATTTTCAATTAGTCTTTAAGATTTATATAAATATACATATATTTACATGTAACCATTCTTTATTATTATTATTTTATCCAAATTTAATTCATTAAATGTAACAGTAGTTCCTAAACTTAAGTTTGTTTTCATTTTTTTTATTTATTTATTTTTATTTGCATAAAACTAATATTAACTGTTTAATATAAATTCAATTTAATAAATATTAAACTTAAAAAACAAAAACAAACAAAACCCTAATCTTACCTCAAAGGTTCAATCGTTCAATTTAATCTTCCTTGCGCACGCAAGTCTGACTCTCCTCTCTTTTGGCTTGAATCAAACTCTAGAATAAAAGTAAACACACAAGCCTTCGCCTCCTATCCTCTTCTCCTTTCTCTTCACATCAAATGCAATCCCTCCCTCCTTCCACTTTCTGCTTGATGCTCCTCTTTCACACCGAATGAAAACAAGCTTCCCATATGCAAAAAATGAGCACCTTCGATGTTTTCTTTCACACCTCAAAAGTGAACGTCACCCTCCATCCCAATGTTTCTGCCTCTAGGGTTAAAAACGTGAGTCTTCTTCCTTCTTCGAGCCGCTTGATAGCCCTAGATGCACATGCTTCACTGAAACTTCGAATGTAAAGTCAACTCCCTCTAGTTAAAAGCAGTATCGTTCTTCGGGTAAACGAAATGAGCGAGTCTTCCATCTTCCTCATTTTCTTTTATAATTAGGGCATGGATTTCTTCGACGATAGTTTACAGGGCTTGATCGAATTTCTATGAACCACAAAATAAAGAAAATGCTTAGGGACTGTTTTTTATTTTTATTTTTAAAAATAAAAAATAAGAAATAAACAAAAAAAACTGTGTTTGTTAATTTGTATTTTGTTTTATCACAGTTTTATATTTTTATGGGAAACACCTCTAATTTTAAAATACTCAAAACATAAAAAACCTGTTTTTACCTGTTTTTAAAACATTGAAAACAACCTTTGCCCGTTTCCCTCAAAATAGTCAGCAGGATCACAACTTACGCATGATTCCTCCCCTCCTCTTCACATCAGCTACTATCCACAAGCACAGCAGCCCTGTCTCTCGATTCCGCCCCACTCGCCGAACCCTTTCCCTCTCGACCCGAAACTCTCACATTCGACGGGATCGCAACTTACAGAGGTCACCAACCACCTTCCCTCTTGGCCCCAACCCTGGGGATAGACTCGCAATTTGCTCTGACTAGGAAGGCTACGACGAGATCGCAACTTACAAAGGTCATCGAAACTCCATCTTTCTTTTCCTTCTGCATAAAAATTGTAATCTATTCTATTTTATTCTTTTAATCCTGGCTTTGGATTATATGTATGCCTATGCTTCAAGTTATTCAAGGATCGAATCGTATAGTTATTTTTTTATGCTTCAGCGATGCTCTACTTTCCAAAGATAACACATAGTTTATGGTTTCTTTTGTGGCAGCTTTTAATGCCCTGAAATAAAGTTTCCACAATTCTGTTTGACCTTAATTTTATTGCTCACGTTGCAAAGAAGTTCTCGTCTCATAGCAGATGTAATGATTATATAATGTCGTTAGGAAATCCTTCCTAAAATGCTTTATTATCTCACATTTACTGTATGGTTTACATGATACTTCGCTTCCAACACTTGTCATTATGAATAATCTTTGCCAACTGCAACAAAGGGATAGATGAATCATAAAATGGTTCGATTTTGAATCTGCAACTACTAGTGTAATGCTAATCTGCCTTTTAAATACAATGAAAAGTCCTTTGGAATTTCTTCCTTTACACTTTATAATCATTATTCACCAAATTTTCATCTGGACAATTCTCAAGAATTTCTTATTGGATTGAGTGATGCTAACGAAACCCATCCTGAAAGATCTCTTTGTGCACTAATATTAAGTTGGATTCCTTTTTAGAGTCCTTCAGAGTTATTCGATGTCTATGGAACTGCACTGCTTGGAACCGTAGCGTCCATGCATCAGTGGTATAGAAATTGTAGTTGGTTCTGTTTGAAACTATAGTTAGTATAAGAGGCTTATTACTCAATATATTCCTTCGAATTTACCATAACATATGTTAAAATTATCATTTCCACTTCATCATGAATATTTTGATGTTTAAAATTGAACATTAGTGATATTGAAATTGCCGCTTTGTAGATAATATCTTTTTAGAGCGCTTTTGTGTAAACGGTTTGGAATTCTTTTTCATCTCTTTCCCATTTTTTATCAATCCAATGTTTGTTTTTGTATGGATATCCTTATGGTTTTAATACACATAGCACTCAATTCTTATCTTGTCATTTGTTTGGAAGATTTACATAGCATACAATTCCTATGTACTTACATACATAGCACTCAATTCCTATCTACTTGCATACATAGCACAAACAAAAAAATAGTAATTGTTTTTAAATGTGTGCTAGTATTGTATGTAGCTATGTCTCTAGTGCTATCTCTGTAATAGTTTCAAGTAGTTGATAGTTTTTCATGTAGTAATGTTTTCTATATAATAGTTTCAAGTTGGTGATAATCAAATATATAAATGCACTGGAGTTGTGTGCTATGTATATGAAATAGTTGTCTTCAAATAATGTTAATTTGGTATGTAAAAAAGTTTCAAGTGCTATCTACATAATTGTTTCATGGATATGTATGTAATTGTTTCAATTGGATGATAATATTTTTCTAAGTAGCAATGTCTCAAGTGCAATTTATGTAATTGTTTGAATTTATATATAGTTGGATAATAGGGATTGCTTATACATAAGTATTACCTATAATTTTGGGTGTTAGTTGACAGTAAAATTTTGCCATCCACGTAATGGGTTGGAATGATTGAATGTGCCCTGACATTACTTTCTCATGTATCAAGTCGAATTATGGATAACAATGGTGTAATTAAAATCACTGGACATGGTCAGATAAGAATGAACAAATCTTCATTCAACTTATGAAAATTGAAGTCATTAATGGGAATAAGCAAACAACTATTGTCAGTCCGGCTGCAAGGTTACACTACAAGGACTTGATAACCTACAAAAAAATAAAAATACAAGCAAGAAAGAATGAGAAGTTCGTTCAATACACTTAGCATTTGTTGGAGACATTTCTAAACTTATTGAAAGAGACTGGAATTGGTTATAACGCAACCACGGAACAAGTGCTTTCATCCGATGATGTATGGGTCAAGTTATATAAAGCATTTATTTCATTTATTATTTCATCCA